AGGAGTCCTCACCTTCCTCCCAGACCCTCTAGCATTCCCCTGTGTGAAGTCTCGACTAGAGACTGATTTACCGCTAAAAATCACAAAACGTATGGAAAAAAAAAATCCATACAAAATCAAGAGTCGGCTCTCCAAAACAGATACCAATATGAAAGAACTTCGGATGATACAATTATCAGGTAGATTATAAAATAAACATGTCTAAAATCATGAGAGGCACAAAAGAAGTAAGAGAACACACAAAAAAGGATAAGACACCATGAAAGAAGACCAGACTAGAGTTAAATCAGAAATCAACTTTAACTTCAGAAGTTTTTAAAAAATTATAAGTTAAAACTTAATATGTTAAACTGATGATTACATATCACTGAATAAATAACTAGCAGGTGGGAAGATGGATTTGAGGAAGAGTCAGGGGTCTGCACGGAGAAACGCGGGCGGGCAGCATGTGGGGGAGGAGCTTACTGTGGGGGGTGGGGGGAGGGGTTCGGGGGTGGGGTGGATGGGTAATGGGAGGGGCTAGTACACACTTATCACCTGTTCCAGAAGGAAATAGAGCAAATGGGACTCAGGCAATATTCCAAGAGAGTAACAGAGAACTTTCCAGAACTAATGAAAGCCGCAAACCTAGTAGGTTGAATAATGCCACATTCTCGAGTACATACAACATTGTATAATGAAAACACCACCAAATAGGAAGGGAAGATTTTAGACGCATTTGTAGATGAAAGAACCCTTGCCTACAAAGATGAGTATCAGATTGCCCAGAAAGTTGCAACAGAAGCGGAGGACAAAGGACAACGGAATAATATATTCAAAGCCCCAAGAGAAAATAACAGTCCGCTTATATTATAACTAAATTAGCATTTAGGAATATGGGCGAAAGAAGTATTTTGAGACAGATGAAAATGAAGAGTGTTTACCAATAACAGGTTTCTGCTGCAAGAATTGCTCAAGAATATACTTCAGAAGAAAATGACTCTAAAAAGCAACAGTGAGATGTAGGATATCAGATTTGAACGAATATTTAATATATAAAAAAGACTGGGGCGTCGAAAAACAGGATGGAATGAAGGTACTGGTCACAGGCAGTGAACGGGCAGAGGTTGGGCATTTAGGCATTTGGGGGAGAAGTGTGGCAGTATTGGTTAACTTTAGACTTCATTTACAAGAAATTTGGTCAATGTTAAATATATGCAACCAAGAAAAAAAGAATCAGATGGAAAGCAGGTTAAGTCTAAAGCATGAAACAAGATGACTGAACTAAATTCAAATATAGCAGAATTCAGAAAAAACTAAAATTACACTCTCAAATAGAAAGGCAGATTGTCAGTTGTACTGGATTAGAAACATCTAACTATATGCGTTAAGAAAGACATTAAGAACGTAAAGACAAAGAAATATTGAACTTAAAAGTATAAAAAAATACCAGCATGATACCAGCCCAAAGAAAGTGGTTTGGTTCTAATAAGAGGAGGCAAATTCTTTGAAACAAAAAAGGGATATTAGGGGTAAAAACGTCACTAAATAAAGCTAAAAAGGAACCATCCACTGAGAAGAAATAATTATAACTTGCCGTCACCTAAAACAGCATCAAGTTATTATATGAGGCAAAAAGAACAATAAATGAACAATTTCATCATCACAGGCGGATTTTAACACACCTCTTTCAATAACTGATAAGTTAAGACGACAAAACATGAGGATGGATATAGATAGACCCATCACACAACGAGCAAGCTTGATTAAAGAGACCCACAGGGAGAATGCACATTATTTCCAAGAACATATGACACATTTACCAAAAGCCCACATATTAGGCCACAAAAATTTCTTGAGAGGCTTCCAAGAATCATACAGACCACAGTCTTGAGCATACTCGACTGCTAGACATTAGTAGCAACAATTAAAACCAAACTACATACTTGGGATTTGGGGAGGAAAAAAAAACCTCTAAATAATTCACGACCAGAAAAAGTGTCTTCATGCGGAATCTAAGAACAGATTGTAAACAGTAACCAGAAAGTTCAACAAGATTGCTGGCTGTACAAAAGTAAGTTTTTATTCACTTGTAATGAGCAATTAAAAAAAGTTTTAGTTTAGAAAATAGCGACCAAAAATATAAAGGTACCTAGGAATAAATCTACCAAAAATGGAGAAGACTTGTATGCATGAAATTTAAAAAATTCTTAAAGACCTAAATAAACAGAAAGATAAACAATATTGATGGATTTGTAGAGTTGCTTTCTAAAGATGTCATTTTTCTGCAGTACATAATTTGAATGTGTTCCTTTTAAAATTCAAAAGAGGGGGTGTGTGGGTGGCTCAATCAGCCACTTTGGCTCAGGTCATGATCTCACTGTCCGTGAGTTCAAGCCCTGCGTTGGGCTCTGTGTTAACCGCTTGGAGCTAGGAGCCTGTTTCAGATTCTGTGTCTCCCTCTCCCTCTGCCCCTCCCCCACTCATGCTCTCTCTCTCTCTCTCTCTCTCTCTCTCTCTCTCTCCCCCTGTCAAAAATAAATAAACATTAAAAAATTTTTTTTAATTCAAAAAAGAATTGAGATTCACAAGTCGATTATAATTTGTATAAGGCAGACCAAAGAACCAAGAATTCCAGGGCAATTACGAAGGGGAAGATTAAGGTAGGATGGCTTCCTTATTCCACCACCATAGTGAGACTTAACTATAGTTTAAGTAATTAGAAAGTGACAGAAATCCGGAAAGAGACAGAATATAGAAGCACATATGGAAATGTGTATATAACAGAGATGCTATTTCAAATCAATGGGCAAATAAGGAATTTTACCAAGCAGCACTGAACAACCAGGTCTCCATATGGAAAAAATAAGTTAAATCTCTACATCAAGCCATATTTAAGTGGATTAAAGACTTGCTTACGAAAAAGCACGACTTGAAAAGTTTTGAAAGAAAATGAAGGAGAATGTGTTTATGTTCTCAGGGTAGGAAGAGATTTCTTCAACACAGCACCAGAAGCACAAACCGTAAATGAAAAGACCAATAAATTTGACTACATGGAAATATTTTTTTTAAAAATCCCTCTTGTACATTAAAGACATCATAAACAAAGTAAAAAAAAAAACAAAAAAACCAAACCTTTGGCTTGGAAAAAATATTTGGCATACACGTAACCAAGAAAGGATTTGGCCCAGAGTTTATAAGCAGCTCAAATGGAAAAGGCCAAATGATGTATGACCAGCAAACCCCAAGACAACACAATGGCTTCAAAATGTAACAAAAGCTGTTCCTCCCTCCTCTAATCAGTGCCATGTAAATTAAAGAGGAACTGATATTTCACACTCATCAGATTGGTGAAAATGTAAAAAAAAAAAAAAAAAAAATCTGATGATTTACTAAGTCCTGCTGAGGAGAGTGTAAATGGACACATGTATTTTGGAGGACAAGACCCGATGGGATTGCTAGGTCAGAGGATTTGACCATCCCCAGCTTCATGCAACATTGTACCGGAGAAAAATTGGAAAACAGCTTAAATGCCCAGGTATGGGGTCTAGCAAGGGATAGATGTTTTACTAAGAATACATTGCATACAGATGTGCTCGATTCTTTTATTTTCTGTACTTGTCTGCCTAACAATGTCTCAATTAAAAAAATAGTGTGATGATGGTTATGGAGAAAAGGCACTTAGGAACAGCTTGGTGTGACTGTCAATTGATTTAACCACTTTCAAGGGCAAAATAAGGCGTCAGGTGATGCTGTTCTTTTTAACCCCTCGGGTGGACCAAGGTGGGAGTCTGATGACCATTTATGCTGGCAAGAGTGTTGGAAACAGGCACTCTCATAGGCTGCGGGTGAGAATGTAGACCGAGAACACCTCAGTGGAGGTAATTTTGGCACTATTTAACAAAACTGTAAATGCTGACTTAGCCCAATTTCTTCCAGGTATTCATTCAAAGAAAAGAAGCAATATTAGGGCAAAGAATTACCTCCACGGAAGTTCATCACAGCAGTCATAACATCGTTTGTAATAATAATAAAGAAACAACGTACCATCACCAGCGATAGTCTAAGTGGTTAGACTAATCATGTCTAACACGATCTCATGGATTCTAATTTATGACGGAACTGTGTGATAGACTCTTCCGTAGCCACCAACACAACGCTGTTGGAGCTCTTTAATGTTATGGGAAGTCTCGCAAAATATTAAGCTAAAAGAGAGTAGGTTACAAAATCGCAGGTGTCCCACTAAAAATACCTATGCAGGCATTGACGCGAAGACACCTCAACATTAACAGAAGCTACTTCTGGGTGAATCGTAGGTGATTTCTATATTCTTCTGGGTTGTCTTCTTTTGGGGGGGGGGTGCTTTGCCCCCAAACTCCGTGTGTGTGTGTGTGTGTGTGTGTGTGTGTGTGTGTGGTGTGCTTTTTAACAGGAGAGGTTCTCCTTTGGCTGAAATAATTTCGATGGGCTGGCTCCATAACCTATGCGTCCGGCAGGCAGGGAGTCATGCGTACCAGGACCTGGGCAGTTCCGCGTGGGGAGGCCCAATATATTTTGGTCACAAACAGAACTGGGAGAGCTGAGGTCCCGAGTTCAATCTCCATGTCAACATCCACACAGCTGCGCTGCCCCAGGGCGCTACCGGATCTGAATTTTGTGTCCAGCATTGCAGAACGGAACACCCCGAGCTGGGCCCAGCCAATGAGGTGGCGGGCGGGGTAGTGGTGGTCATGCAGCAGGTCATGTCAGCGCCCGCCATGCTGTCCAGCAAGCCCCAGCGGGGCAAGGCGTCAAGGTTCCGCGCGCGGGTTGCGTGATCGTCAGCGCGGTCCTGCTACGTCAAAACACACAAGGGTCCGGGCGGGGCGGTATGGCGGGCGGGCCGCCGTCTGCGTGGCACGTGGCCGGTGGCTGGAGGGTGGGGGGCTGGGGAGCCGCGCCGTCCGCCTCCCGCCGCCCTGCCGGGATCTCAGCCCACGCCCGGGGAAGTCCCGGTGCGCGCGGGTGGCCAAAGAGGAGAGATGGCGCTGGGCGTGAGCGCCGGGCCGGTCAGCCGTTGTCCAGCCATCGCGCGGCCTGGCTCCTGCCTGAGAGCTGCGGTAGGGTGGCTCAGACGCCTGTCGCCCCCCCCCCCCCCCACCGGGTCCTGGCGACTTCCACCACCCCCCCACCTCTCCCCGCTGGCTGGCTCACGCCGCCTGTCCCCTTCCCCAGGCAGCCCAGGTAGGCCTGGAGTGCCTGCGGGCGCGGGCGTGGTGAAGGTGGTCATCCTGAGGATGTCATACCGGACTTGCTGTGCATCGCCTACTGGGACCTGCAGGTCCCTACACGGCTGTCTCCTTTCGACCGTATGCGCGATGGCGATGCCCCTGGCTAGGGCTGCTGGCCTTCCGCTGCCAGCCCCGTTGGAGGCTGCGGGGACCACCTCCTTTGGGCTGGCGACCCTCTGTAACCGCGGCTAGCCTCCGAATACCGCGCCTTCCCACACGCCTTCTCTCACTTCTGGCACTCCTGGGTACATCACCCGCATCTAGCGACAAGGCGACTTAGATTGTGTTCCCCAAGGACCTAATTCCCTCCCTGCCCCTAGAGGTGGCCTGAGATGAAAGGCGGCAGACGCTTTGGGAAGCGAGCTGCTGCTGATTTGGATGAATTCTGGACGCCACCTGTGGTTGTGGCCACGAGAAAGCAGCCAGGGCAGATTTAGATATCGGACAGTAGGAAAATCAGATTTGATTTCGGGGTTTGGGGGCCAGGTGTCCCCTAATTGGGCATGGGGAGGGAGGAATAGTCTGCTGAGAGGAAGGCCACTAAGAGATAGTCCAGTGTGCTCTAGGCTTGTGTCCCAGATGGAAGTTGTCTGGCATCCGCTTTCTGGGTTACCCTGTCCCTTAGCTTGTCCATGCTGCTTGGCGCTCCGACAGTCCTGAGGGGCCCAGCCTGGGGGCGTGGGCGTCTGGGAGGGGGCGTGAGCAGCACCCACGCAAGTAAGAACGAGCGTCACTGTGCCCCCCCCTCCCCCGTAGGAGAATTGAGTTGCACCGCGGCTTCTTTAAAGAGTTCCTCAACTGGAACATTTTCAGAGGCTAGCACCTCGGTTCCAGCGGCTTCGCACAGCCCCGCAGTCCCTGGTCTTTTGTCCACCTCCCCTAATGAGGTTCTGCCACAACAGCACCTCCAGGTTCAGCCGAGGGCGCGTGATATCCTAGCCTTACTCCGCGGCTCTGATTTAGCATCCGAGAAGAAATCTCGGTGTTCGTTGCTTTCTGCAGAATGCAGGCCTTTGTTCTGCCCTCCAAAAGAAAGATGCTTTACGAACCTGCACGTGTATCTGGCCATTTAGCAAGGCAGTATAGGACAGGTGTGTGTGTGTGTGTGTGTGTGTCCTCTCCGGACCAGATGGCCTCTTTCCCTGGGACGGTGCTGCACCCCTGTTTTTGTGAATTCCACGCAGCACCCAGTGTTTGCCCGGCCGGTTGGGAAGGTGCTCCGTGAATTCAGGCTGGCACTTGGTGAGGTATGTGCACTGGATATACTTTTGCTGCCTTGGAGCACTGTATCGTGTAGGGAAGCACGTCTGTTATTATTCCTACTTGGCTTCCACTTCGTTCACTGTGGGATCAGAGAACATAACACTTGCAAGATTGTTCTGGTAAAAACAACAGCATTGAAGCAAAAATATCGTGAAGACATTATTATTTGAGTGCTCACTGTGTGCCAGCCTCCGGGGTAAATATTTACATCCATTATCTGTGTCAGTCCTTCCAATGGACTTAAGAGATCTATACTACTACTGCTGTTCCCATTTAAAAGATGAGGACACTGAGCCTTAGGGAGTGAAGGAAGGCACTCACTGTTATACAGCTTGGCTAAATGAGAAAGGGGGATTCGAACCAAGTAGTCTGATTCCTTAGCCTGAGTTCTCTGGTTTCCACCTCCGTTACTTAGGGTAAAGAATAGAAAAGTGTCCTTGGTCTAGCCAGGCAGGGACTTAGCTACCTTAAAGAAGGGGCAAAACATGAAACCATGATCCCTTCCAGAGAGGAATAAAAAAAAAAAGACTATCCCCAGGGGAGTAATTAAAAAGTACTCGTGAAACAAGTAGATGGAATTTCAGACTGTAAAGTTCAAATAGTTGTCAAGGTAAATCTTGCACAAGGTCATTTGGAATGATGCAGTAAACCGTAGCCATTAACCTTTGGCTCCTCCTTGGATGTCAGCTGATGATGTAACTCTATAATGCATGAGCTTGTTTATTGAACACGGTTCTTGCATGATTTACCCTGAAGGCTCTCAAAACTGATTTTTTTTTTTTAAATGACAACAGTCTCTTGGCATTTTCTTTTTTCTTTTGGTTCATGGAATAGGGTCATTGAAAGATCATGCCATAGTTTTTTTTTTTTTTTTTTTTTTTTTTTTTTTTTTTTAAAGAGGGAAACAGTGATCGAGTCGCGGGGGGAATAGGAAAGCTGTGTTCTGCCCATAAACTATTCAGCTACCTTGAAAATGAAATGCATTGTTCCTTCAAGTACTTTTTAACAGGCCTCAGCATGTTCTGTAGATATTTATTATTTTCCAGCCCAGTAATTACACTTTCGCATTGATTGTGTTTGTACAACACAAATGGATAGAGTAGTCTGGAAATAAGGTCAGTGGTGGGAGACTGAAGTACTTGGTTCTCCAGAAGATTAAGCATCTCGTTATTGTTTTTCTTTTTCCGCCACACAACTTGTTTTTTGAGGAAGAAACAGTGTGCATTTTATCCTCTCTGGATAAAGAGAGGTACAGTGAGGGGCGGGGGTGAGGAGGCGTAATATAACACAGGGGGCTGTAGGTGGAGCAAAGAGTGGGCTGAGATAGCCCACTTCCTGTGAACCCAGCATTTATTTCCCATGGACCAGTGCCCTTCTAACTGGGATCCAACAGTGGGCCCTCCTCTTGTCCTTTCCTGTATTGTACCTGTTAAGGCAAAGTAGATGGTTAGGAAGAAATAGAAACACGAATACACATACCCATCAAGCTAGTAGCTGAATTTAGCTTTGAAAGTCGTGAACTGACTGTGTTTGTTTAGGGAGGGATTTTGAGAAAATATGCAGACAGACTTGGTCCAGCACTCTCTCCCGCTGGCTGTTGAGTGTCTTGTGTAAGAGGGCGTGGCACCATCCCATGTCTTCCAGGAGTAAGAGCATCCGTGAAAGGGCTACCTCTGTGCTTCACGCCGAGCACAAGTGGATTCACATTCTCTTTAATGAGGCTGCACAGGTTTGCAGGGAGAGGATGCCCCTGGACGCAGTGTTTGGGCTTGGTGATGTTTGCAACTGATAATAGCGAGTGGTTATTTATCAGGGAGATATAGTACCATCTGGAGTCATGCCGGGAGCCCTGACGACCTACGCTGATGCATAACGAAAGAGGATATATAGTGTCAACCTTGGGTGACACTGCGGGGGTGAAGACAAGAGATGTGTCACAAGACACATGCCCTTTTCAGATGATTTCCAAAGGAAGGGAGAAAGGGGAAGTAAGACGGATTTCAGAAGTCAGTCTTGGGTTTGTAAGAGTGAGAAGGGATCGTGGGTTATCCCCTGAACCAAGGGAGCTGTCAGAGAGCAGGTGAATGGCTTGTGTGAGGCTACTTCCAAAGTTCCAGGCTAGTCACCACGCACATCTTGCTTGTCCTTGTTTTGTGATGAAGCTGCCGTCCGTGTAGGTTGCTGACTTCCCATTCAGTGTATTTGTATTTTGTGTCTCTGCCGGCTTGTGTGATAGTGAACCACAAAGCCAGGAGGCGCTGAAGAAACCGGGGTCCCTTGGTGGGGGCTGGAGCGGATGAGTGGTCTGGGCGGATGTAACCCGTGCAGCCAACAAATGCGGATGGACCCGTGAAGGAGCCAGGGTGTGCCGCTCACTACAGTTCCTTGATTCTAGAATTTTATCTGCTGTAAGATGAGATTTAAGAGCGTGTCTTTGGGAGGAGAAGGAAACATTCCTATAGTAAACACAGAAGCACTGAAACATTGAAACGTGAAAGCAGTGTGTCAGGGTCACAGAAAAATCACGCTGTCCACATGGGCACCTACACCGCTTGACCTGGCTGACTCACTTCGATGGCCTTTACCCTCGGCCAAACCGTGAAAGACCTAAAGTTAGTTTTCAGATGGCCCTTACATTTACAGTTTCGTTAGTAAAGAT